GACGAGCATTTCCGATCAACGGTTAAAAAGTTGAGTAATGAAAAAGTAACGGGGAAAGGACAAAGAAATATAGTTTAATTATGATTTTATTAAAAGATCACGAGGTCGGCCTCTCGTACAAGGTCGGCACTTGCGATAAACTGTTGACGGGCGTTTCCGGTCAACGGTTAAAAAGTTGAGTAATGAAAAGGTAACGGGGAAAGGACAAAGAAATATGGTTTAATTATGATTTTATTAAAAGATCACGAGGTCGGCCTCTCGTACGAGGTCGGCACTTGCGATATACTTACAGATTCTTACACGAATTCCTTGCAAGTCTAGAGAGAGAAAATGTAGAGAGAGTTTTGACAGTTGGGATTCAACAACCCAAATTAAATGAAGTGGGCTGCTATTTATAGTGGCCTTGAATGTGACACTGTTCAGGTACTGTTTGCTGGTCTTGTCGTACAGTAGTTCGACGGGACGGGCCGGCCTTTTTCTGACTGATTAGGAGTAATTTCTGGATTTCCCAATCATTACCTGCCACGCATTTAATACGGGTGTGGGCTGCATTTAATGCGGACATGCTCTCTGGCCGAGCTAGACGTCCTAGTCCTATAGACTAGTCGGGGATGTCCTATTGGCAATCATTAGTTGACAAGTGGCCTTATTTAATTGTTTTCTGGGTCCTCAACCCCTTAACCCCTTCAGTCCCCGATCTGGTATGATCCCGAGCCGGACTATAATAGTTCGCCTTCCGTCGCCCGTGGTTCCTTATTGATCTCGGCACCGAACCAGGTTGGCTTCGCGGTTGGGTGTCATGGTACCGACCTCGCGGATGGGGAGAGCGAGGTGCCGACCCTGAGACCAACTATGACCGTCATTTCTATTGACTTTGACTTCTGCTCAGCTCGGCACTTATGAATAACTTTCGGTGACCGGCTTCACCGGGTCGGCCGGTCCCCAACCGACTCCCGATCTTTCAGACCGGGATCTTAATAAGAGCCGGACTTGTATATTAACACAAATTGATCCGATTTTTTTTTTAAACCAAATAAAAAAATCATCAATTTTTCCTAAAAATGCAACCAAATTTTCCTAACATTGCACCAATTTTTGTACCAAACAAATTGAATTGAAAATAATTCTAATAAGAAATTGAAATAAATTGTTAATGTTTATGCAACTGTCTCTTTCCTAAAGAAAATGATATGAACTTAACAAAAAAAAATGATATGAACTTACTAAAATCTCGTTAAAACATGGTTAAGAAAAAATATAAGAATCCAAAAAAATCAATGCATTTAAATTTTGAAAAGTTGCACATAATTTTTCCTAAATAATTGGATAAGGTGACTTTAAATATCAATGATGAACCGCTTTTGTTACCTAAAAATGTGGACACAATTTTCAATATACATCCCGTCCAAATATCAGTTTTATTTTAAAATAAAAATTGACGTGGTTTTATCCAATTTACACAATTTTTTTGAAAGAAAAAATTATTCAATAAGATTGGAAGAATTGGTTAAGAATTATACAACTATTTGCTTCCTAAATTTGTATCCAATTTGCACGGTTTTTAAATTAATTTGTATTTAGAATTGTTTTCATAAATAATTGACACATTTTTTGCATAAGAATCTCCAAATTTGTTACCAAAAAAGATATGATTTAAATTTTGCTAAGAAAATAAAATATGATACGAAAAATATGGGATTCAAATTTTGCCATAAGAATCTCCAAATTTGTTACAAAAAAAATAGGATTTAGATTTTGTTACTAAAGATTCACATGTGTTTTTTTGAATTTTCCATTAATAAACTAATTTTTTATCCAACAAATTGATCCGAATTTTTTTTTAAACCAAATAAAAAAATCATCAATTTTTCCTAAAAATGCAACCAAATTTTCCTAACATTGCACCAATTTTTGTACCAAACAAATTGAATTGAAAATAATTCTAATAAAAAATTGAAATAAATTGTTAATGTTTATGCAACTGTCTCTTTCCTAAAAAAAATGATATGAACATAACAAAAAAAAAAATGATATGAACTTACCAAAATCTCGTTAAAACATGGTTAAGAAAAAATATAAGAATCCAAAAAAATTGATGCATTTAAATTTTGAAAAGTTGCACATAATTTTTCCTAAATAATTGGATAAGGTGACTTTAAATATCAATGATGAACCGCTTTTGTTATCAAAAAATGTGGACACAATTTTCAATATACATCCCGTCCAAATATCAGTTTTATTTTAAAATAAAAATTGACGTGGTTTTATCCAATTTACACAATTTTTTTGAAAGAAAAAATTATTCAATAAGATTGGAAGAATTGGTTAAGAATTATACAACTATTTGCTTTCTAAATTTGTATCCAATTTGCACGGTTTTTAAATTAATTTGTATTTAGAATTGTTCTCATAAATAATTGACACATTTTTTGTATAAGAATCTCCAAATTTGTTACCAAAAAAGATATGATTTAAATTTTGCTAAGAAAATAAAATATGATACGAAAAATATGGGATTCAAATTTTGCCATAAGAATCTCCAAATTTGTTACCAAAAAAATAGGATTTAGATTTTGTTACTAAAGATTCACATGTGTTTTTTTGAATTTTCCATTAATAACTAGTACAGTACACGTGCGATGCACGGGGTTTTATTATTTTCATCCCTTCAAAAAGAAAATTCGTATTAAAATTCCAGTTATATAATAAAAGGCAAATTTGTATTAAAATTCCAATTATATAATATAGGAAAGATCATGCCATTACTAATTACTAAATATAATGAAAATGAAATCTATATATTATTGATTACTTTCTTATATACAACATTCATGGTTTGATTATTTGGCACGTCGTCGTCACCAAAAATTAGGATTTTCAAACTATTTCTGTTAGTGACACGGGAGATAACAACATCATGACTAAATATTGGTTTCTTAAGAAATAAGCCAACGATTGTCTGTGTCTCTTGTTTATACTCATGGCGTAAGAAACTATAATGAGAAACTGTCGAAGCTGGAACTTAAAAAGAATTCTAACATCGGAATGAGTTATAGCTATTCTTGGAATCAAACCTTATCACATGCGTGATCTCCCGTGAGTATCTTACATATATATCATGTTTTATATTTTGGATAGTTAAATAAAATTAAAAAATTGAATTATCTGTAGTAATATAAATAACAATCATAATTACTAAGTTATAAGTTAAAATCTATAACAATGATCTATATAAAATATGACGTATAAATTATTAATAATGTGTGGGGTTAACATATTTTTATGAAAAGTGATATAATTGGGCCAAAATCTGGTCCATGTGATTAATAGTTATGAGCCTATTAATCATCATATTGGGCTTAGGGAGTAAAATTGGCCCGACTCTTTACACAATCAATCGAACGATCATGATAAGTCAACGAAAATCGACGGATAAGATTTCTTTCCACAGAGTATAAAAAGTGAAAAAATCGGACTTGTATTTTCTCCTCTCCACTCTAGATTCTTCCCAAATTCAACTATTTTTTTTTTCAATTTCAGAAATAAATTTCTCATTTTTGTTTTAATTTTTCTTATGAACCTATACATATCGATTTTGTTTTTCTATTCATAAAGAAAAATTGTTAGTAGTATATCTTTTTCATATGATTTCAATTTTACGTTTTAATTTTTACTCCGATGTCGGATTCTTTCGTACTATGATTATGGTTAATAATCTTGTTCGATTTTTTCAATTCCAATTCGATTCTCAACAAAATGCAAAGTCGATTTTTGTTCAAAAATTCGTCATTTTACCTCGGCTTCTATACCCAAATTCACGTTCCTTAGGTGAGATTTGAAAATTTGCTCCTGAAAAGTCGATTTTTGTTAAAAAATAAAAAAATAAAAATAAATAACATACAATAGTGTTTGCAAAAAAATGACAAAGCTCCCCAAAATACATGAAAACACAGAATGAGAAGAAGAGATATAAAAATCTATCCATTCATTAAGCTCCCTTCGACAACCTTAAACAACCTGGAATTCTAGCCATTCCCTAGCAGCTTGTTGCACAATGCAGTGCTTAGCGAGAATCTGCTTCGGACGAAGCCTCGCCCCTCGTCGGACGTGCTCGAAAAAACCTGCTCAGCCTTGGGCTGCTTGCTCTCACTGCTCCAGCAGTGGGGTTCTGTTTCGGTCGGGGGTGCTGGTCTCGTCGGGACCTAGTGCTCTCCATCCGCTGCCCTCGGGTGATCTCGGTCTCGCCAGTGAAACTTCGGCCGAAAAAATATAAATAAACTTAGGAAACGATGAGAGAAGGTGAAGGCTTGGAGAGAAGGTGCAAATATGCATAATTTAGGGAATATGCATAACCTAATTTATGGGGATAAATAAGGGAGGGTGTCAATCTTTGGGGGAGAGATTGAGTTGCTTGATTTTCTGTTAAAAAAAAAATACTAACAAATGCTACAAATTAAGGGCATCAATTAATGTTGTTCGATTTTTGAAAAAAAATAAAAATAAAAAAAGTTACTACGAATAGCATGTAATTAATGTTGAGTAAGTTTTGCCCAAGATTTGACCTGCCATTTTTTAAAAATGGTAATTCTTATTATATATGTTTAGATAAGTCAAACATTATATTTATATGGTCAAATTTTCTATTAATGTATTTTTCCAACAATCTCTTTATATATATATAGATATAGATATAGATATATATTATTAGTATTATTTAAGTAATTAGACTATTAAACCCGCACATCATTTTTTGTCATATTTTCCACCATTATGTGAAGTAGCATTTATTATATTTTCTTGCTCGTTTATTTCAACTCATATTAGCTCAACCAATATATACTATACAAATAAATAAATAAAAATAAAAAAATTATTCAGCTCCCAATGCACGTGCACCAGAAAAAATACCAAGTTAATGAACACCACAGAAAAAAAATAATAACAAATAATAATAATTATGTAGAAAATAAATAAGCTGTGGCAAGGCTTAAAACATAACCGAGAGAGAGAGAGAGAGGGGAGATTTAGTGGGAGATTAATGGCCGAGGAGAGTAAGAAATCAAGTGTGGTAAAGCACATACTGCTGGCAAAGTTCAAAGAAGAAGTGTCTGAACAAAAGATTGAAGAATGCATAAAGCAATACGCAAACCTTGTTAATCTCATACCTTCTATGAAGTCCTTCGCTTGGTAACCATACTTAAACATATATACATATATATCTAATTAATGTAGAATTTTTAGTATACTACAAGACAAGAATACATTATGCAGTTCCCTTTGTTAATAATCAACCACTTATGTTTGTTTCTGTTTTTCAAATTGCACCCTACTCACTAAAATTAATTTTAGCTAATTATTTTGTAGATTTGCCTCTAGAGGCTCATTATTTTATTTATTTATTATTTTTTTTTTTTTTTTTNTTTTTGCCTTAGATAATAAAGGGGGAAATGTGCAAGTTTGTTTGACCTTGTAATTAATTTGCAGTGCTCCTACTTTTAATTATTATCACAATTGTAATTAAGTTGAATTGTGAGTTGATGCAGGGGAAAAGATGTGAGCGTAGAGAATTTAAATCAAGGTTTCACTCATGTATTCGAGTCCACATTCGAGAGCACACAAGGCATAGCTGAGTATCTTGTTCATCCGGACCATGAGGCCTACGGTATTATATTGCGACCTCTACTCGAGAATGTCATCACTATCGATTACGAACCGATTGACGTCAAACTCTAAAAGAAATCAAACATAAGTAAGTTAGTCCTTGATGGACTCCCTCATTATTAGTTTTCTTCATCACTATGTATATAAATACAAACTTCATTCATGCTCTTGTTTCCATCTCTAAGTCTAAACTTTTTGGCGGTCATTCTATACAACTTTGGTTAATTTAAATGTCTATTTGTATCGTATGTTACATCAATTGGTTTGCGATTGCATTATGGTTGATATATTCAGTGATTCGCTAACTTCTCTCAATTATTAGGCCCGACTGTAAGAATATTTTATATTCTTCTATTATTGTGGACCATATTATTAGTTGGACCTAATTGAATTAATAGCTAAACTTAATTAAGGTGAATATATATTTAATGGAATATTAATGTTCTAATATTAAATGATCCAATTTGTGATGTTGACTTGGACAATAAGTTAGGTTAGAACAGGAGGAATGTTAGTAGGATTATGATTGTAGATCTCCTCCTATATATACTACTACATCTCTCTCTCTCTCTCTCTCTGCTAATACGAAAATAGAGTTCTCAACATTAAGAGCTTTATGAAAAGACGAGAGAGAGAAAGAGAAACAATTCATAAGCAAAGACAAATCTTTCATTGAAGATTACGAGAAAGATGATCGTATATCAAGAACAGGGAAGAGCTATAAGCTGAACTCTTGTAAGTTCTATGTGCAATTTAATTAATACAAAAGATCCATATTCTATGAATTGATAGAATTACATACTTAGGGTTTATTCAATTTCGCCTAATAGTTATGAATATGTCCGATCAAATTTATTACGCATACCACGGTAAAAATTAAAATTCTAACCCAAAATTATAAGTGAGAAACATGTAAATATGATATTGAAATTAGTTGTCATTGATTGGAGAAACCCGAAACGTGTTGAAAGTTTGATAATGGTTGTGTGGATGCTTGTTGTCGACATGTGGAATTTGATAATGGTTGTATGGATGCTTGTCGTCGACATGTCGGGCGATCTTGGAGGAGACGACCGTTGCCTATAAGCGTAGGGTGGATGATTGTTGTCGACATGTGGAGTTTGAGATGGGCGACTTCGTTTGGGCGATGTTGACAAATGATCATTTTTCGGCCGATAAGTATAACAAGTTGTCTGCTCGGAAGATCGGATTCGTCGAGATTTTGGAAACGAGAAATCCCAATACATATCGTCTCTGACGTGTTTAACCTCAAACATCCGGTCCCTTACCTTGGCGACAATTTGGACGACGACGAGATTCGGCCAGATTCGAGGGCGAATCCTTCTTAATCGGGGGAGGATGATGGAGACAAGATTATCCTTGCATTCTTGGATAAACATGACCGACTGGTTCCTATTGTTTAGTTATTTATTTTCATTATTATTACTATCCTTACTTGCGTTATTTTAGATTGTGGGCAGAGGCGGACTGACATACAGTCCAGGGGGGCCATGGTCCCCTCCAAACTTTTGATTTTTTTTACCTATGTATATGTGTAAAATATTAGTTATTAGATTAAGTATATTTAATTATTATCACTAAACAATTAATTAAAGTTATATTGATTGAGACTAAGTGGACTAGAACAAGCCAAAGGCCATTACACAAATATATAGATTAAGCCATTAGCCATAAAGCCCATTTAATGATTTAACTTTCACCTTTATTGTATTATATTATATATATTATTTTTTATTAGTAAAACTAATAAAACTACTCTAATTAACCTAAAAAAAAGACTCAATTCAAGAGTCCAGAGATAGAGACAGAGACGCACGAAACAGAGCACAGGGACGCACAACACAAGCTTGCAAGGTAAAAAAAAAAATTGAACTAATTTGCAGCAACAAAGGATCGTCTGTCATTCATTCTTTCGAATAATTTGATCTTTATATATATATATATATAAATTGATCACTTTTATTATTATTATTATTATTATTATTATTATTATTATTTTATATTATACTATGTCTATATATACACATTACAAGCAGATTATTAATTTTTTTTATCCTTTACTACATATATATATATTATTAGCATATTCAATTTATTGCATCATTCCATAGTTATTACTAATTATTGTATTGCTCTGTCTAGTAATTTATTTTTAAGTACGTTATATTTTGTAAGTAATTTTTCACTCTTCACCTATAATATTTGGTGTTTTTTCTTAGTAGTATAGGATTTCATTAAATTCATTGTATGAGGTATATAACATCTTAATTTAAAAAATTTGAAATTGCAGAGCATGCAATATATGCAATTCCACCGGATCGAACATTAATAGCAAGAACTACCAACACTGACTCAATTGTTAATGAGTCTCATGAGCTGAAATAATATCGAGCACAATTTTAATATACTAAATTCATAAGTTATATCTTGGGTAGAGCAGTTACTATTTATTTTATCAATTTATTGTATAATGAAAACGTATGCCTCATGTGTGTGTATTATTGAAAATTATATATCCTCTCTAAAGGTGTTATTCAAGTGAAGTCAAGTCAAAATTCTCATGTTCAAGCTCGTGTTTGATTAATAGATGAATCAGCTCGGCTTGACTCATTAATAAACAAGTAAGATCCAACTCAGTTGATACACAAATTAAATTAATTGTTTGAAATTGGTTCCTTTAAGTATAAGATCACATTGAGCTTGAGTTTTTATGAGTCAAATTGAACTTGTGCGCAAACAGTTTTGTACGAATAATAACTTTAGNGAAGATTTTTTCTAGATCGGCCCCTGACAGGGGGTGAATATTTATTTATTTTCCCTTATCCTTGTCTTGGTAGGCAAGTTTGTAATTTAGGGTTGTGTAGACCTTTTTTTTTAAGAGACTTCTCTTCATTTGGAGAAGACAATCGATTTGAAATAAAAATACATCAGTTGAGAGTTTTCTCTTATTCTTTTCCCATTTGTTAGGTTGCGCTAAATCATCTTATTAGCTAGCTTTTTTATTCAGTTGATTGGGTGGAAAAGCTATTTTGGAAAACGTTGCAATACCAAGCACTTTGATTAACTGGGTGAGGAAGGGGTACTTTTATTCATTTGTTTATCAACTTTCCATCCAAAATAGGATGTCCCATCTTTATATTTCCAATTCAATTTGTGTTGCATAGGGGATGGAGAATCCTCCCTTTACCTACACATAAAAAATATAAAATGTTTATTATGGTTCATTATTTAATTTATTTACTTTTATAATTTTTTAGTTTAATAATTATCATTGAAATGTTCATTAACAAGTGTTGACGGACGTTTCCGGTCAACGGTTAAAGAAATAAGTAAAATAAGTAAAGGATGAGAAAATGACAAAGAGATGCGGTTTAATTATGATTTTTATATCAGATCACTGGGCCGGCCTCTCGTAGGAGGTCGGCACTTGTGATATCCTTACAATTCTTACAGGGGTTTATTACAAGTTTAGAGAGAGAAAGTCGAGAAAGAGTCTGAAAGTTGGAGATTCAACAATCCAGAAATAAATGAGGGGGCTGCTATTTATAGTGCTCTGAAATGTGGCACTGCTTAGGTACTGTTCACCGGTCTTGTCGTACAGTTTTCTGTCAGAGCAGTCCGACGTCTCCCTGACAAATTAAATGCGAATTGAGGTTTTCTTAATCATTGTCTGTCAGGCATTTAATGCACACATGGGGGTTATTTAATGCTGGCGGGCTTTATGTCTTGGCTAGTGGATGTAGACCTGCAGGCTACGACGCCCTGTCCAATCGCCAATGATTACTCCCTAAGTGGCGTTATTATATTATTATCGGACCCGCACCTGTCTCCGGGACAACCGCTCGACAACCGCTCTGAAGATTCAGGTCGGCTCCCGAGCTCATTCTACTCTTCTGGCCTTTTAGATTCTTATTTCAGCCCGCCACCTATTCGAGGTCGGCACCGGCACTTGAACGGCGTAAATGCCGGACTCGAGAATGGACCCACAGAGACGTGACGGTCGATTTAATTCGGGATTCAGCTCGACACTTCCACGCCCGACCGGGCCTCCGGTTCGGCCTTTGGGGTTGCCTTTTATCCGGTTCCCTTTCGAGGCGAACTCGGATGTCAACATACAGGCCCCCGAGCTCGAAGGAGGTGCCTTCGGTATCCCCTGTGAGGTCATCGTTTTGGAATGCGTCCGAGTTCCCTTGTTTCGGTTGTAGTTTGGTGGCGTGCAAGTTCGGCACGTGAGTTTAACTTGGCAAAGTTTTTTCTTCTGTCGTCATGCGCGTCCTCCTCAGATCTGAAGTGACGGGCCATTTAATGCGATGTGTCTGTTACGCTTCCTGTCGGCCATGAACAGTCGCGCCTTTTCAGAGCCCTTTCCACGTGGCGTCAACTGATTCGTCCGCGTCGAGCGGCGTGTCGTTTCAGAGATTGACGGTTTTTGTGGGCGCGTGGTATCCACGCTGTGGTTTCCCGGCCGTAGGATCACTTTTTTAATTTTGAATTTTAAACGTATGCCACGCGTCACCTTGTGATTGGGCGAGAACCTGTATATATAGGGGTCTTCGTCTTCCTCAAGAAACTTTACTGTTTCTGAAATTTTTTCGAGCGACCGAGCTTCCGAGCAAGAATTCAAGGCGATTTTCGAGATTTTCCGAGCTTCTCCAGCGACTTTCACACCGATAATTTCACTTTTCCAAGATCTTTCTTCTTATTTTCCGATTATGTCGAGTTTTTCTGGTCTCGCGGCGAACCTCCCCGTCAGAGATGGTGGGTACACGACGGAGGAGACTGGGGAGTTGGTGGTTTACTCTCCTCCAACGGCAGAGGCAGCGCAGCCGCTCAGAGTCACTCCGATTTCGGCCGTCCGCATGACGCCGGTGGCGGCGGCGGCGGGCCTGCACCGAGAGGATCATCCGGACTTCCCCACAATTGAGATCATCGACCTTGGATCTGGTCAGTCTGATGCCGAGGAGGTCGAGAAGGAGACCGGCGCCGCTTCTCCTGATGAGTCTGACGTGGACATCGAGCTGGTGGATGAGACGCTTCAGGGCGACACCCATGGACGAGAGCGGGTCTCTATGGGTTGCGAGGATGCCGAGACCGATGCCTTGGTCGAAGCGGCGACCTCGGCTCCCCCATGATCCTAGTGCCGCCCTCCTCGCGTCTGGCCTTCCGTCGCATCGGCGACTGCCTGGACGACCGCGTCGGTGCTGAGGGATGTCGACCTTGCACAGTTGAGGGGGAAGGCCTGCTTCGGCCCAGGGGTCAGAGTTTTGGCCCTTTATGCCGGCGAGCGCATTCACTGCCCCCCGCCGGGCTGCATCAGCGTGTACTACTCGAGTGTCCTACTCGGCCTTCGATTCCCGCTGTTGGGGGCTCTGAACGACATCCTCAGCGACCTC